CTAAGGCATAAAGTTGCCAACTTTATGCCATTGCATGCCTCAAAATCATCCAACACTTCCATTAAGAATTTTTCAAGGTTCTTAATCCCTGCATGAGGCCTAAACATCCATCAAGATCCCATTTTTATGCTTCTAAATAACCGAGGGACCTCAGATCTGTCATCCTCGTCTTATAGAGTTGCTTAACTCATCAAAAGAGGTCCAAAACCAACCGAATGGGCAAAACTAGAAAACCCTAGCTAGATCTAAGGATTTAGATGGAAAGGTGCAAGCTTTTTACCTCCAGAAGCTTTGTAAGGTGAGTTTGATGCAAGATCTTAAAGCATCTATACGATCCAAGCTTGCTTGACCACTTATTCTTCTTGCAATGAACACTAAAAGGTCACAAATGCACTCTTTTAAGCTCAAGGATGATCTCACTAGGTTCTCTGGGGTACAAGGACGCTCTAAGGCTATGGAGGCTCTCTGGGGTTAAGTCCAAGGGACTTAAGATCGTTTAAATAGGCCTCATGTTCGAAGATTAGGGCTTTGCTCTCTGACGCGTACGCCAGGCGTACCCTTACGTATGCCCAACGTATGTGAGGCTCCTCCACGATCAATCATGCAGAGTACGCTAAGCGTACATCTAAGTACGCCCAGCGTACTCGAGGGACCAAATACACTCATAAATGAAATATTATGGGTTTCCAAGACATACCAGATTAGGGTGTTACACTTGACTTTTAAAACTTTTAAGAGTTAAAATGCAAAAGTCACAAATAGATGGGATTTCATAACGTTTGAAAAAGCTTTTTTTGTTCATGGCAAAAAGTTGTTTTAAAAGAACTTTTCCATTTGCCAAATATCTTTTGAACTTTTTTTGACTTTTTGGAAAAATTAAAAGTCCAAAAGTCATTATTAAAGAAAATGCAAACACCCCCTTAGTGTTAAAACTATGTTTTCGAGAAACTTAATAATGAAAATTGTGTTTAAGTTGTTACAATAAATGAAGAATTGAGCAAATTATTTAAACCGAGAATTTTTATAAAAAGAGCATCCAAATCTGACTCTGTATGAGGAAGTTATGATTTTTCTAAGTTTCGGTATAGCAATAGACAGCTAAAAACTCGAAATAAAGATCGAGTAATTTTTAGCCGACACAACCTAAACGAGAATTGAAGGTCCCGTCAATAGTAGTATAACGGTAAAAAGATAGACAAAAACGGACATCGGATGAAGAAGTTATGAATTTTTAACGGATTTTTCTATCCCGATCTGTTAAAAATAATAATATTTAAATAAATTCAAAATTAGCCGATGGAGGCTAAACGAAAGTCGTAGAGCATAATTTTAGCTACACATGCATATAAAAAGGTCAAAAAGGGAGCTCGTATGCAAAAGTTATGGAATTTTGAAGTTCGGGGAACAAAATTCGAGAAAATCCCAAGAACCGAGAAATTTTGCATGGACAGGGTTCGGCCACGTCACCTTCGCACACGAGCCTGCCCCGTGTCCAATGCTGATGAGTCATCCGAAGCAGCTGCTAACGCGTGTCCAACCTGTGTCGCACCCCCTCGCACCCGAAGGCGCGACCCAATCCGAGACCCTCGCGTGTCCGACGCGTGTTACGTCCGAGACTCTGAAGCGTGTAGCATGCGAACGTCCCAAGCCTAGCCCTTCCATTCTCACATGCGAACCACATGCTTCCCCTCGGTCCAAAGCCTCCCCCATATAAAGGGAGGTGCGAATTTTCCTGGCTAATGTTGGAAAATTCTCATTTTTTACACCTTAAGCCTTATTTTAACCCACTTTTAATCCACCGGAACCCCAGGATCTTACCCAACATCCGAAATACATTACAAAGTGCCCGAAGAGCCCGAGAAATTTATCTTTTCGGTTTGAAGCTCAACCATCGCAAGGCCCGGTTTTCAAGAAAGCTTCCGATTTTCATCGAAGAAAGCTAATTATAATAACGAAGTGCTGCCCAAATTACTATTTTAGCCTCCAATTAATTCACGGTGAGTTCAATATATAGGAACAATTGTATGTTATGTGTTGTATATGCTATGTGTTTTTCCGTGTTATTATTTCATGCTATTATGGTAGCAAAAGTTGTACCTTTGACCATGTGATCAATAAAAGGACTTAGATTCACAATGGTATTGGTATGTAGCCTCTGGCCGTGTAGAGAATGACTCGTAAGAGAATGACTTCTACCCTATGGTATTTGCAGAAGGTTGGATAGGGCTAAAGGTCTGAAATCTACCAAAATGTTTAATCATAAAGTGTATGTCTTCTGTGCCATTTGGGCTGAAGCTTTATTGATATATATCGAGTATGAAAATTGTTATATCTCATTGATTGTATATCTTTGAATCAAATCATTGATTGATATGGAAAGTTTGTCACATGATTCACATATATCTTTGTTGTTTCTTGTTCCTCTTTGCTTCTGTCGTATTGAATTATATATATGACATAACGTTATATTGTATGTATTATTGAGTTCACTAAGCGTCACCGTTTATCCCTCTCAGTGTTTAACTATTGCAGGTAATAAGGATCCAATATAGTCATATACTGTTGTAAGATTTAGAATAGTTTATATTATTACTTTCGTATTTAGTGATCGTGTATGTATAAAATTATAATGTCCTGGGTAATTTTGTAATATATAAAAACTTAGTCGGTTTATATCCAGTCTTTTGTAATTAAACTATCAATGTAAAATATTGTTTATAAAAACTCACTAAGCGTCACCATTTATCCCTCTCAGTGTTTAACTATTGCAGGTAATAAGAATCCAGTGTAGTCATATACTGTTGGAAGATTTAGAATAGTTTATATTATTACTTTCGTATTTAGTGATCGTGTATGTAGAAAATTATAATATCCTGGGTATTTTTGTTTATAAATATAATGTAACATATTTTGAATTAATTTGGAATAACTTGGAATAATAAAGTTTCAATTATGAAAGTGTGGGTCTTTCAATGGTAATGTTTCTCATGCTGAACGGAGTCGTGCTCATTAAGAAGTTCGCCATGCTCGCCAACTTGAAGGAAACACCGCCCCCTAGCTCTCGCTAGGGGGCTCGCCATTGTTTAGTCGTCAACATGTTAGCGAGATGAAAGAAAGGCAAATTTGTGTTTCATTGGTTGCATGTCTTTTGCAGGCTCACTTTTTCAGTATGCATAGTAAAAACAAAAATCACTACTTTATGCATGGAATTAAATCTCTGTTTAACTTTATATATATATATATATATATATATATATATATATATAGAGAGAGAGAGAGAGAGAGAAAGTGTCAAGAGTGTTACCACTCCTTACCAAATGTTAAGTGTAAGTGTTAAATGGAGAAAAATGATATGGCAACTAAAATGCTTATGTGACAAGGTGCCAAGAGTGTCGCCACTCCTCTTAGTTTCATTATTAATGTTTTTTATGTGTATCCTTAGGATAAGCAAAATAAAAATTGATATTTTACAATGAAATAGGCCAAACAGTTTGAAAATCGACTAAAACGGTGTTCAGATGATTACAACCTACCTATTATATGAATATTAACGAGTCAACCTGCCCGTTTGCCACATCCAAAACGAATACAAGCCACTCATTAGTAGATGAGTGCATAACAAAGTTTCGAACTTCACTAAGAACATGAAACTATAATTATATATATGCTTTAAAAAGCTCTTTCACCTTGACATATCCTTTTACACTAAAAAATTAGTTAACATCTGCAAAAGGACATCGGTTAGGAGACCCCGAGCTTATATGTTGATGATGTTTCACTTTGCTTCCATTTTCCACACACTTTTGTCGATTTTCATAAGCAGTATTTGTTGCTAAAAGATCTTCAAAAGCAAGTGTTCGCATTGCCTCTATGGATATCAAACTAGGCACATCTATCTCACGTTTTCTCACACCAGAATCATCATCAACCTGTTATACATATCAACACAAAAATGAATTCTTGTTTTAAGCAATAATAAAAAAAAATCATAATTTATACCTTGTAATCTTTCTTTAGGCACTCAGATTGGTTTAGCATGTTTTTTGTTCTATCATCATGTTCATCTTCCAAGGATGTAAGGTGATGTAAGCATGTCTTTGACACAGAATCCAATTCTTTCTTCATTTCTTGATCCACCATGAGTGAATCTGCTTGTGATACAATTTATTCACCCGATTAACTTATCGGTTCATATTTTTTTATAAACCAAAAAAAAAGGATTAATTTATAAAAATTACCAATAACAGATGATTTCAAATCTGTAGCATCTGAATGGAATTTTGCATCCATCGACACGTGTGTTGAAGCAATCTCTTCACTTCTAAGTTTGTTTACATGAAGTTTCTCACTAAACAAAAGATTAAGTTAAGTGGTCAAGAACATGCAAAAATAAAGACTATTATGCCCCTTAGTTCGTTTTGCTTATACTTTTTACATCATTGTTAAATTAATGTAGTAATTATACCTTATAAACAATTCTGTCTCAACTATGCTGCTCTCATTAACACGATTAATCACCAACTCTGTATTGTTCCAGTGTTGCAAGGATTTTCCAACCTTATTTGTACTGCATTAATATTTAAAAAATAAAAAATAAAAAAAATCAGTGACTCCAACAAATTAGCAAAAGTTATAATCAAATGATGCAATAAATCTTACCAATCCTCAAAGCAATTCTCCATCATTGATTGATTTTGAGTTGAAATAAACATGGCTTCTGTATAATGAGTTTTCGCCTTTTCTATATATTCATTTGCTTCAGTCTTTCCATCGTTTGATGTCTGCAACATGTTGGATATGTCTTGCAGCAAGATCTTGTTGTCTTGTGAACTTAAGTTGTCAAGATTTTGTGATGCCTCAGAGAACTGATAATGACAATATATGGAATTTTTTTTATGACATGTATATATGAAAACAAGACAAAATTTTCCTACTTACCCTTGAAGTTTGTTTTGCTATCAAATTCTTCAAGATTGTTGAAATGTTTTCTATTGCCAATTGTTCTTCTCTGGCTGCATCTTCCTGTTAAATAGGAAAAATAAACTTTAGAGCCCTGACTTTAGCTGATTTTTTTGGTTTTGGACAATAAAGGATATGGGTTGCAAATTTGATCCTTATTTCACTATTTCATAAGCTTTTGGTTCCTGGGTTTCTCTAAGTTAACAGCCCAACTGTTAAATTTTTTGAAATGTCCATTTTGCCATTGGACCAAAACTGGGAAAAAATATACTATAGGGACCAAATTTGTAATTTTCTCTTATATTTTATTTATGGTTTGTAACATCCTTGTGGTATATTATTCTTTTTTCAGTTTTGTCCAAGGGCAAAATGGTCATTTAAAAATTTTAACAGCTATGGTTCCTTTACTCTTAACTTTTATTGCCTTTTTAACCTTGAAATTCTTCTCAAATGCATTTAGCTGATGTGATCTTGTTTTATGATTTTCTTCAAGAATTTTCATGAGTTTGGTAGCTTGCTGACTCAGATTGTTGAAGAAACCAATTACTGCCCTTGAGATTTCATGTGAAGTCTCCAAACTTTTATGTACTCCCTATACAATTAAAAAATAAAATATGAAAAGAGTAATAACATAATTATAAACTTTAAGAGTTAAAATAAAAACACCCTTGTTGTGTTTGCACCTCTTCATGTTGCTGAACAGATACAGCCAGCATCTGCTTCTGATCAGCTATAGAATTCTGAATATCACATGTGACATTTTTAGCCTCCATGACTGCATTCTTAAAGATCTGCTTGAAATAATGTTTCACATCATTGACTTGTTACCATTAATTCATTAAACCTTAAATTCAATTTAATGATTTCTTACATTTTCGATTGCCAATGTTTGATCTGATATTCTGGACTTCATATGAACCAAATCAGAAGAAGCTTCTTTTTGCAATGTGTCAACAAGCTCCTTTAATACCTTCATGCCTGATGTGTATGTCTCTGTTATGTTCTTGATCCTTGATTCCAAAACCTCAGTTTTCTGGTTCATAAATAAATTCAGTAAATCAGAAATGGTAAAATTTAAAAATGATTTGGAAAACAATGAAACTAATTTCTTACATCATGTTTAGTATCAAGAAACACAGAGACATGTTCTTCCATGCATCTCATTTGTTGCTGCTGTTGTGAAACTGAACTCAATACAACTTTCTGCAGATCTTTTAGGCTGTGATCAAGCTCACAACCAAATGACAAAAGTAGCCCTTGGTTTTCTGCTTCTAACTTGCTCTTATAATCTATACATGAAATTTTATCTTTGGTTAGTTTTGTTATTGAGCAAATTGTAGGAAACAGGAACACGCATAAAAAATATAATAATTAAAAATATGAAAAAACAATATACCTATTTTTGAAAACAATCCAGTTATGTCTTCTGATGCATCTTGTAATTTGTTACGCAGACCTTTTGCATGTTCAACTAGACAGTTTTCTGTTTTGATGACAAGATTGAAAAATATAAAACTTTTGCATAAAAAGAAGCTAATGGATTAGTTAAAGTCAAGATTTATGTTTGACCTGAATCTAAAAGTTTGGAGATGAAAATTTCCTTTTTCTTCAACATTGACATGGCTTCCCTATGCTTTCCTTGAATCTCCAGTAAGGACTTGTTACTTTTTTCCAAATCTTCCTGAATGTGTACACAGGGAATATATGAGATAAAAAAAAAATTAAAAATTAAAAATTATATATCCACTTGTAAGTTCATTGGTCATTGCATACCTTGCAATCTTTGAGATCACTTTCAAGGCTCAACCTTTTTTCTTGTTCACTTTCAAAGAGTTCTCGGTATTTATCTACTTCCTGGATTTAAATAAAATTTAATTAATGAATGATTCATCAATATTTATTATATTTCTCTTAGAAATAGAGGAAGGACTACTACCTTCTCACTGATGTTTAAATCAATCTCCAGCTGCTCAATCTTTTCACTCTTCAACTGTAAAATGATAATCCACATAACAATATAACATTATAAATGAAAAGATGAAGTAGATGAAAAAGTATGCTAATGAGATTAAAATATGCATACCTTCTTTTCAGATTCATCCTGTGCATATCTTTCATGTGGAATGTATACGCCATTCTTTTCCCTAGCTGCTCTAAGATCTGTTTATATATTTTTAATAGAATCATAACTTTTAACTGTATTATGCATAAAAATTTATGGGGAATAGCAGTGTGAGTCATCAAACCTTGTTTCATTTTTTCAATTTCCAAATACATATCTTTGAGCAGCATAGCTTTAGACATCTTCTGATTTGCCTGTATTAAAGTATATGAATTCAGATACAGGTAATGTATATAAAAAAGAAAATCAAGGGTATAGCCATATAGAATAATATAAATTCTGACCTCTGGTTTGTTTTTAATGTTTTTAGCACGATGTGCATAATCTAAAGTGCTTAATGTTTCTTCTAAACAATGAGCAGATGGAGAAACAGTTGCAATGATGCAGGTTTTGGTCTTTCCACCAAGTGAGTCTCTTAACAGCCTTGTCAGCTTACTATCCCTACAGAAAATTACAGAAAAACCCATTATAAATCTGGTAATTTTCCCTATGAATTTCTACTAGAAGTTAAGTTAACAGAAATATTATGAATACAAACCTGTATGGAACATGACCAGAATGCTCCACAAGTGCATTAATGACACGTCCCAATGTAAGCAAACTCTTGTTTATTTCTCCAGCCTCCCTTGCTCTACCCTACAATAAACAAAACATGATTTTTTGTAAAAAGAAAAACAAGAATTCAAGCATTTTGAAAGATAAAAGAATAAGATATAGTATCTGTTTCCTTACATCTCGGGCACCTGACCGGGAAATATTTTCTGACCCTGCCAAATCAACAAGATTAAGCTTCCCATATTTAATAAGTTCCTCACTTCCAACAGTTGCTTGTTTCACATGTACAGTTATTGTAAAAACTGAATGAGAACGACTGCTGTGTGTTTGTTTAACAAGGTGTCTGCTGTGCGTCTTTTGGCTGCACCTCGTTCCAGGAGGGTATATATGTCATTTGCACTGTATACAGCTTCTTCTTCCAAACCTCTTACAAGAACACAGCCTTTCCCATCTTCCATCAAGGAGATTGGCTTCTTTTGCCTCTCGTCTATAGCTCTGGTGTGGTCTTCAGGGGCAAGAAGGTCAACTATTTCTTCATTGTAAAGTTCTAAGAAAGTAACTTTCATGCTGTAATCAGCATTTTGAGACTCTAGTGTATCAAAGATTTGGCGAACTGCTCTTGGAATTACCCCTGCCTCAGCAGGTAAGTCTCCACCCTTATTTCTCATCCCTCCTTCCATTGTGTATGTTTTACCAGTACCAGTTTGACCATATGCAAAAACTGTGCAATTGAAGCCCTCAAGCACTTCATTTACAATAGGAAAGATTGCTTGGTCGTATATTGATCTCTGTTGTGCTTTGGGCCCGAAAACCTTTAAAAAGGAGTAAGAATTAGATAGCTTTTTGTATCACATTGATGGTAATTATGGATTCAGGGATGTACCTTGTCAAAGGTGAAGAGTTTGTCTACTTGTTTGTTGGCGACATTTTGCAATATTGCTACCTCTCTTTTGTGTTCGTTGCATGTTATCACCTTTGGTACGTTGCACTTTTGTTCTTCCTCGCTTAAGGGCCTGTGAATACATGAACAAGCCAAGCCTTGAAACAAAGCCTAAGAATAGTTGATGAAATGTATGTGTACAAACCCTAGTTTGAATCGAGCACTACAATCCAATTCAAAGCCCCTCAGATCATGACAGCCAATTAACATAACCTAAACGCACATGAAATTAAATACCTAACTAGAAATCGAAAGAAAATGAAGAAAGTGTACCTGCATCTGAGCAAAACTTGGATGTTAACTTCACCACGATCTTTCTCAACTTTACTAGAATTCCAATCGATACCTCTAGATTCCGGACGCCTCCGTTCGGGTCTAGGAGTAAGAAACGGCATCGGAGTGGCTACCATTCCAACTCCCGCTTTCCCATTATGATCCGGCGTCATTGACGTTGTGCTCCTTTTATACTCCATTCCCTAAAATAAGTTTTATTGCCGATCAAGATCCCAAAACAACAAGAACGCCAAATCAAAATCGAATGTTAGAATTTTTACCTGTGCTTGAACAAGAAGAGTTGATCAAGATCGAAAATTGTTGGATGGAACGACTGCTTTCACAAAGTTGAGATTTGATTTTTGTTTGATAGGTTGAAAATGTGTTTGGCGAGAGAGAACAGAGTGTGGAGGATTTGAGTTTTGCTAACGGCTACAATGAGTGTGTATATATTTGACGAATTGGGGGGTCCATCTCCGCTTCGTACAAAATTCAAATATTAAAACGAGGCGCCTCCCGTATACGACGAACTACCTCGGGCCGGGTCTGTTTTACGAAGGTTTTTTTACCCATTTTCTTTTTATTCTTTAGAGTAAATTACACGAATAGTCCCTATTGTTTGAGGTAATTTGTGTGTTTAGTCCTTAACTTATTTTTTTAACTCGTAAGATCTCTTTTGTTTGTTTTTAGTAAACGTTTGGTCACACCATCGTCGTCTCCGTCTCCGTCACCATCACCTTCATCTTTGTGACTGTTTCTTTTCCTAAAAACCTTCTTCTCAGATTTACTCCATCTCAAATCTACACATACATTGTTACTACATGTTCGTCTGAAATCTTGTTCGTTGAAGCTTGCAGATCTAGAAGTGGTGGTTCGATGGACTATCAGATCGGGAGACGATCAGACGAAGGTGGTAGTTCGTCAAAGATCATAGATCTGGAGGATGATGTGTATCATTTTGTCTCAGAGGTGAGTTGCTTTGAACCTTCATCATCTTAGGGTTGGAACATCACCACCTTCACTGTATCTAGGTTTTGATCTGAGGTTTCTTTTACACCATCGCCTAGGGTTTCAAGTTTGGTTTGGTTAGGTGGTGATAGATGGTCGTTTCTAGTTGTAGTCGACTAGCGGTTGTTCATGATGTGTTAGCGGTGATAGGTGGAGGCACCGGAGGTGGATGGTGGCATGAGGTGGGAGAGAAATAAGAGCGACATATGGTGGCTTTATGGTAGTGGTTGTCGGAGTTGAGAAGAAAAGAAGATAAGAGATATAATAATTGTGGTGGTAGTGTATATTTAGTTAAACAAGTTTTTAACAGATTGCTAATTAATAATTAATAAACAAATCAAAAAAGAGATAAACAAGGGTAAAATGGTTTTTTATGTGCGGATGGACTAAGCATGTAAAAAAAACAACCCCAATGACGATCCGAGTTAATTTTTGAAAATAAAAACTAAACGGGCTTTCTGGCATGCGCACGATGGACAATTGGTGTGATTTACCCTTAAAATTTAATTATATCAATAACCATTAAGTGTTTAAGTTGGTGTATCAAATATTATAATTGTTTTAAATATACGATAAGATAAAAACATATTAAACTTATATTATTTAAGTCTTATCCATTTTGCAGATTATGTATATAAAAGGAATTGGAGTAAATTACATGAATCATCTCTCATACAAGTGCTAAAAAACACGTTTATTTCCTATTTTCAAAAATTAACTTAGATCGTCCTTGTTTGTTTAAAAGTTGCATCCTTCATCCCTCGTTAGTTTAAATATGCATGTTTCATCCTTTACGAGACATGAAAATATTATATTGCCCTTATTTATTCTCTTTTTTTTATTTTGTTTTTAACTTTTGTTTTTTTATTAATTATAATATTTAAAAAATGAAGTAGGCCCCTCTCTATTGTCTTTTTAAAAATTCTTGATTTTTTATTAATTATAATATTAAATCTTGAATTTTTTATTAATTATAATTCTTGATTTTTTTTTTAAATAAAATTCCACGTCTTCTCCTCACATCTCCTCTGTCTCCATCATTTGTCACCATCATCTCCCTCCATTGCTCTCCGACAATGAACACGACCAAGAACTAGTGCTTAGTTGTTCTTTCTTCCTACCACCATATCAAGTGAGACTAGAGACCTTTATCTTTGATTTATTTTGTTCTCTTTCGACCTGAAAATATTTTTCTTCAATTTATATACCTTTAGAGTAAATTACATTTTGGTCCTTATGGTTTGTTGATCTTTTGGTAGTAATTTCCATTAATATGCATGTTGGGGTTGTGATGGTGTTGTTATGCATCTAACTTCCCTAAGCATTGGTTTTTGGTAAAGGGTGGTCCCTTTTATTCCAATCTTGCAAATCTGAGCCTCTTATATTATCCAAATTTCCACTATATTTTTCAAGGTAATATCTTAATTTGTAATGTAAAGCACTCCACACAAATAAGATGAGGCAATTTCGAAAAAGGAGATGTGGTTTCTGGTGGATTCTTTTCATCTCATAATCCTAGTAGCCACTACCAACCAACAAAGCAAATTTCGTCGGGATTCCAGTCAGGGAATTATAGATCTAGAAGGCGACAATGTGTAATACATGGGTTGATTCAAGGTTTTCTTGGAGCTCGCAACGAACAACATTGGAGGCATGAAGGGGACAACGATGGTACTTTGAAGGGGACGACGACCGCCTCTCCCTTATCGTGCATCTCTCCATCTTTCTTCCCCCCCCCCCTCTATCGGTATCACATATGTACACACACATGGACTTTTGACCTGTTCCAATGACACTGGTGGAGAGGAGATGTCTTTGGAGTCGTCGAAGACGAAATGAAGAAGAAATAAGGGGGAGAAACGACACGTTTAGGCTATGAGGAGTGGTGTCGCATGCTAAAGAGATGTTAAGACATGTTATATCATATTTTTTTCTTCCACCTAATCTTTTGTCATAGAAAATATATACACTTGGATTTTGAGAAAAAAAAGTAAAACAAAAATGAAAAAAAAAAGATAACCAATCACAGCCTTTTGATTTTAGAAAAAAAAAAAAAAAAAAGCAAATACAAAAGGACCAACGACAGTCAACTCCAAAGAATCTTTTCTTCTCTCACTTCTCGATAGCGAGCTCTTCTTAGCACATTGCTTAACATAGAGAATGGGATAGTGTTTTGTTCATGCCAAGCTTTTGGCGAGTGGGCTTGGCGCCCCCCCTCCTTTTAGCCTTAGGGGAGTAAGGGTTAAATGCCTATCTTTCCTAATAAATGAAAATGTTATTGCCACTTGTGATTCTCTTATTTATTTGGCCACATGTCATTTTGTCATAATTTTAAAATATATATATTTTCCACTTGTCAATTACTTCATTATTCATTTCCACTATATCATTAATTTAGTTTCCATAAATTAAATCTACTATAATAACTATTAATTTCAAATTTCAAATTTCAATTTTCAATTTCAATTTCAATTTCAAATAAATTTACACTTTAAACATTTGTATTTAACATTTTATTATAATAAATCGTTTACTACACGGGTCTAACAATTAAACACATAATTTTAATTAATTTATTTTTTGCATGTTTTTTTTCATAATTGTCACTAATTACATATTTCATATTTCAAATTCAAATAAACTTTTCATTTAATCGCTCCTGTTTAACATTATGTTTTAATTAACCCGTATAATATACGAGTTTCACAACTAGTTTTTTTTAATAACTCAAGGCAATAAATAATTACTTTTTATAATAAAGAAATTAATAAATAACAAATAAATATAGAGAAATCAAAAAAAGAAATAAATAAGGGGAAATTTGTCTTTTTATGTTCAGAGGGATGAAACGTGTAAATTTTAACGAAACGAGGATCGGTCCGATTTAAATTTTGAAATTACGGCCTGAACATATATTTTGACATCTGGACGAGGGACGATTCATGTAATTTACTCAAAGAATTGATTTAATATTATTTTAATTATTATAATTATTATGGTCAACTACGTAGGGAGTGACTCTCTCATTTGAGAGGTCATGAGTTTAAGTCTCGCTTGAAACATATGTTGTGATAGTTAGGAGTATATTAGTTAGTCGTTTTAAAAAATTGATTTAAATAAATGTTTTTTTTATCAAATCATTTCATCTCAATAAAATCTAGCTAAAGGTTATAATTATATATTAAGTTTAATTTTGAACCCCATTAGTGAACAATACTTGCATCCTGGTGGATTTTTTTTTCTTTTTTGTGTTGTGGGTTTACTTTTATTTTTTTAATCATCGCCGCTTGATTTCTATTCCTATTGATACGTGTAGTTCCACCGTTTTCTTGACTAATCCCTTCCATCCATATTTACTACCTACACCGATCAATACTTATAGATTTTTCTGATTTTTCTTCATCTGATTTCTTCTACTTCATTTTAGTTCTTCACCGACTCTTTTTTTTTCCCTCCATCCACCGCCATTGTGGTTTCATGTTTCATCCAACTGCAGTAATCAATCGGCTCTTTTCGTCTAGTAATATATTTGCTCTTTTTGTCCGGAGACCATTGATATTCTCTCCCACGTCCACCATCGCTTGCTTTCTCCAGTCTAAGTTATATATATATTAGCTGTTTACCCGCGCCAAGCGACGGGTACAAAAAGTTTTTTTAGAAATTAATTTATACAAACGATTAATTTTTTTGCATCAATGGTTTACTATATCCTAACAGTTATCAATTAAAGTCATTCATAAAAATATGGATTTAAATTTTTTAAATTAATTTTTTTTCATAATTACAAATAATGACATAATAACAAATATGATTTAACTTAAAGGATCATTTAATAATTGAACTAAAAATATTGATATACAATTTGAATAAAATGTTATTGAGTTGATGAATACCCATGTCCAAACAAATGTGAAACCATCTCTATTATCTCTTTAGCTAAATCTCGATTTTTTAAGGCCATAATATTTATAAAATATAAATGTCTGCACAATCCATACATAATAATACATGGAACAAAAACCAAAATATGCAAAAGGAAACTAACTATATACACTCTAAATAAAAAACAACTTCAAAATTTGGCACCATGAAGATTGAAACGTATGGATGAGAGCTGCATCCACTGCCAAATGACATCAAACGACACTCATTAAAAAAATTTAAAAGAAATCAAATGTATAAATAGAAGAAAAACTCAAATAAAAAATAAAGAAAACAAACACCACTTTCAACATATTTACAAAATGAATATCTGCACATTTTCCAATGGTGTGATACTGGTAACAGATTTGTTCCAACGGGAATAGAAGAAGTTCAGAACTTCTGATAAGAATCTGTAGGAAGTTGAATATTTCCATTGGTATTTGCACAAAGATAATATTATGTAATTAATAGTTTCGACAACATAATAACCCAATTCAAAGATGATACATATATTTGTTTCAAAATTTTGTAAACTACAATTTGTAAGGATAGAACCTGAGTGGTGTGAAAAGTAAGT